CACAAAAATAAAAATTGATCAGTCATCTAGTGTTAAAGCAAAAGTACTGAAGTATTCAGTCATTAATTCAGAAATTACATTACCGAACTGTTTTTTTATTGTTAAGTATTTTAAAGCTTTTTGTAATAATTATGAATGTAGGAAAGTTATTACAGAAGAAAAAAAAGTTGACAATTTGTAAAAATGTCAAATTAGCTAAAGTAACAATTCGTAAAAATGATACTTTGCAAAAATAGCAAATTCGCAAAAATGTCACTTTGAAATAATGACAATTCGTAAAAATGTCGTTTCGGTTAAATGCAGTTCGGTAAAATGTCAGTTTGGTCGTCAAACGTCAAATTACGTTTGGGGAATATTTATGCGCCCGGAATTTTAGATTTCTTGGAACCAGATTATCTTTCATTGTCAGATAAATGTTTTCCTGGAATTCAAAGTACTATTTATGACAAAGCATTACACTTGTACTTATTATGCGTTATCATTGTTTTCCTTAAATAAATTTCTATCAATAGTATCAAAAACATATATGTAAATAAATATTTTTGTTATTACGTATAGCGTGTTTAGTGTGACTTAAATATTTCATATGACGTCAGTTCTATTCGGTTATAAAAATATATTTGTTGTTCATTGTGAACATTAAAGAATGTCTAGACTAAAATATAACTTGACATACTTGAATATCAAAAATCTAAATATATATTTAATATTAACATTTATATGGATAAAATATTTGTCTTACGGTATTTTTATTCACAAAATAATATAACAATTATTTTACTAAAAAAAAATTTTTTTTTTATTTATTAAGTATTTATTAAGTATGTTTAGGTTTTACTATTATTGGTAGGTCTGTAATTTCTTAGACAAATCTTTTAAAATTTACTTGAACGAAGAATTAAAAATTTGTCGCTTTATAAGGAAAAAAAAGATATTTATTTTTGAAATTCATTTTTGATAAATTAATTTAAAATAAATTAAAATTTCTACTGACTTATTTTACTTCTTATTCTTTTGATTACGCGTCTGTTACGTCAATTATGAAAAGAATAGATTTTTCAACTTTTTCTCTCTTCACCGTGGAATAAGATCACGGGGTAAATTCGCCTATTCAAAAGAATTCAACTTTTGAATTCTTTCCAATTCTCCGCTTTTTACCAGGGACTCAATTATGTAAATCTTAATCGTCTTCCACTTTGACATTCACATTTGATTGTTTTCGCCTAGAAATTTGAAAAATGTCAATTTAACACTTGTTACGTTAAACCAACGTACCCTAGTAGAAATTTGTCATAGTATCTTTAAGGGCACTGGACAGTTCCACTGGAAAATTTCGAGGCACTTTACAGTTAAACTGGCTAAAAACTATAAAGTGATGTCACGCTAATTTCTTCAAGTTATTGTCCAGTCAAATTTTACAGTTTCTGATCATCAGTCCTGTAGAAAAACTATACAAAATAATTCACTTGGAAATGTCAAAAATTTCTTTATATTGACGTTACGTATTAAACACGTACAAATTTGAAAATATAACGTTAAATTTTTTTGTCAACAAATTAAATAAATTAAAATTTTACGAAACTATATTTTTACTGTTGGTGTATCTATTGTTCCGTATAATAAATGATTTATAATAAATTATCTGTAAAATTATTTTTAAATAACTACATAATTAAAAAAAAATATAAAAATTACTGATTCTTGAACACATGTCATTTTTTTACATTAAACAACATTCACTTTTTCCTTTAATTAAGCACAACACTGAAATAAATATTATTATTTTATCACACTACAAACTTATAAGTAAACCCTAATATGAAGAATTAATTCAGTTCAAACGAAAAATATCTAGCGGTTTCGGGGAGCGAACTCGGGTCACACTGGGACGAAATACCTAAACGCACGCTTTACGCATCACGGCCGTTCTAGTCGATGGACGATTCCGGAAAAATAAGAACCATACTCTACCGGCAGGTAAAGCAGTTCCCTTTTTCATCTTTTCTAGCTCAACTGGCGAATTACTGGACAGCTACTGCATAACACTCTAAAGTTGAACTTATTGATTATTACTGTATAGAAGTTCTGTCTGTCCAGTTATTCTCATGGTACTGTCTAGGCGTTCCGTGAAATTATGTTTCAAAGTTTGTCGTGGCGTTAGCGCTACCGTCAGTCCAGCAACTGAACAGTGTTGTGTAGACATTTTCCATAAATACATCAGAGTATACACTGAAAGAAATAATTCGCGGGTGTAACTAGAATTATGTCTATTTTTTCCGTAAGGAATTAGTAATAAATTGTTACTGTCTACTGTCATTAATTATAGACAGTTCTGTTATTCAGATCGGAGAGCTATACATATGTCAACGTCAATTCATCAATGTAAAACATAACCTCACTTTATTGGACCAATTCTAACTTTTTGTATGTAACAGGTTTGTTAAATTAATATTTATACATATAATAAGAGTATATAATCTTGAAAAGAAATTGTCTTCTGAATTTAAAAAATTAGTTATTTTAATTAACTCAATTAATTGAAGCGAATTTTAAAAAAATTTTTTTTTTCTAAAGGAATTTTCATTAAAAATAAATTTTGATTGAAAAGAAATTTTTATTATTAAATCAAAATTTTAATATTAAATAATTTAAAAAATTTGTTATTTAGTTGTCAACAGTAAAATAAAAGAACAAAATTAAAATTATAAAAACTATAAACTGTAAAACCAAAAGATTTATTTTATAGAAAATATTTCGAAAATGTCAATACACAACTGTTTAGTTACTGAAACTGGCGGTAGCGCTAACGCCACGACAAACTTTGGAACATCATTTCTCGGAACGCCTCGACAGTGCCATGAAAATAACTGTACAGGACTTCTATGCAGTAATAATCAAGTTCAACTTTATATTTTCTTTAACAGTGTTATGCAGTAGCTGTCTAGTAATTCGCCAGTTAAGCTAGATTAAACTTCCATGACTAAAACTGTACAGTAACTTGAATAAATCTAGTCATGCCACGACAAATTTCTACTAGGGTAATAATATCATAGTTAGTCCCCTTTTTTTACCAAATTCCCTTTTTATCCCCTCAAATGATTAAAATCTTCTAAAATACGCAATACACGCACATTTTTTCCACTTTTCCTCTTATTTTTAAGAAAAACTTATCAAAATTGTCATTTTTTGAAAGGTAGAAACTTTTTTTAGCTGTGCTTGAAGAAAAAAATTTACTTTTTGCAAACTTTGGAAAAATTTTAGTTTTTTGATACCTAAAAATCTTTTTATATAATTTTTCTAAGTCTTTAAACTAAGAAATGTTTCATGAAAGGTAACATTTACTTTTGACACAATCCAAATTGTTTGGAATTTTTGCCAAATTGTAATATTTTCAGAATAAATTTTAGTAAATTTAAAGAATATTTGATTAGTTTTCAGTAAAATTTACTGCAAGGGTATTATAAAATTAACTCTGGAAATAACGATTTTTAATAGAAAAAATTTATTATATTCTCAATGTTAATTTTTTTCATCAAAATTATTCATATTTTCTTCGACCATTACAATTGGCTATTAAAAAATTTTTTTTTTAGATTAAATTTTACTACCTATTTTTGAAATAAATTTTTCTAATTAAAAAAATTTTTTCTTTGAAAATAGTAAAAGTTATTCTGGAAATAACAATATTCAATATTAATTTTTACTATTTATGAAGGGGATTTTTCCAAGTTTCAAAAATTCATGTAATTTTAAAACAAAAGTAGCGTTGTAATAAAAATATTGATTAAAAATTTAACGAAAGTTACAAACGGCGGAAACAGATAAGAAAATATAAATTATTAACAGAAAAAGTTTAACAAAAAAGTAATTTGATTTAAAATTTTATTACCTCGTTTAAAAATTTAAATTTTGAGTGTGGTCAAAGTAAAGGTCGTGCCTCAAAATTTGCAATATTACCCTCCAATTTGTTGACTTTATCAAAAATCAGCTGATTACGAATCTGGTAAATAATTAATTAAATAATTAATTTTAATTTCTTAAAATTCAAGATGTCGAATCCAATATGGCTGCCAATTTTTTTTAAACTTGACAAATTTCCTTGAAACTTGTCATTCGGGAGTTTTCGAGAATTTTGATTACGAATATGGTTTAAATTTTTCAAAATTCAAAATGTCGAATTCAATATGGTGGCACATTTTTTGAAAAACCTAACGGATTTGATTGATATTTGTTGCTAGAAAGTTCTCCAGGTCGCTAATTACGGACCTGGTGTTAATTTTTCAAAATTCAAAATTAATCCAATATGGCTGACAATTTTTGAAAATGTCAACAAATTTGCTGGAAATTTTGTTATGTTAGTAAATAAAGTAAACATTTAGGGGTAATTTTGTAATTTAGAGGTTGTTTTTAAAGGGTTATTTACTTTTTTTTATAAATTTTGAAGTAATAAAAAAAGGTTTATAAATCATTTTGGAGTTTGCAGAAATTTAAAATATTTTTTTAACCCTTTTGAACAAAATTTAAGGGTGGTTTTATAGGTGAGGGGTGTTTTATAAGGGGTTTATCATTGTCATTATTAATATTGTGTGCAAGAATATTCTTTCTGTATGTTAAGAAGAAATAAAATTTTTTCTCCAATAAGTACTGCTATTTATACTCCTTGGGGTTGTTTTTTTTAAATAAGGATAGTTTTAGAGGGTAGAAAGTGTTAATTTTTTTATGCAACTCAGACATAAAGTGCTCACTATTGCCCTAGGATAATAAAGTACCTATTATTACCCTAGGGTAATAAAGTACTCATTATTACCCTAGGGCGATAATGGACACTTTATTGACCAGCTGAAAGACGAAGATAATTACGATTACATAATTCAGCAGTAGAATTTTATAAAACACTTTGATATAAGTTTCAGGTTTTTTTAAATATTGAAAAATAAATGCAATGTATTTGAAGATATTTTTTTTTTGCAATATGTGAATTAGTAGCTAAGAGAAGTTACCTGGAGCAGCGGTAGTTGTGACAGGCTCGGGCATCATAGCAGGCATCATTGGCATGTTCATCATATCCACTGCCGCGGGAGCATTTTGCAAAGCAAGTTTGAATGGAGCACTAATTTGGTGATGCTGCAAGGAAACAATATTGAAAGTCTCCGGTAGTGTCGATTGTTGGAAAATGAGATTGCTCTTCGTTGCTCTTGGGGGCGCAATCATAAAGCTCATTGCTTCTGGTGGCATCATAGCTGGCATCATTGCTGGCATCATAGGTACAGCAGGACTGCAGGTATTTTAACAAAAAAAAAAATAATAAATTTAAATTACGATAAAATTATAAGAAGTAGAAAAATAAAATAAACCAATTAGACAAATTTTTGTGTAACAGTTGTAAGTCACAAAGTAGGCCTAAAAAATTTAACCGTTGAGTCAAAATTACTAAACTGGGCCACATAAAACAAACTTTTTAAATTTGCATTATGTCTTTATATAATTTGTTACAGCCGGGTGTTTTTTTTATTTTTACGATTTTTTTCATACTTATTTTTATTAAAAAAATGATTAAAAATAAAAATTCAAAAAGCCTAAAGTCATTTAAGAAGAAGAAGCATTCCGGGCGAATGTTTTTGTATTACCCGGTTGTAACAAATTTAAAAGGTTTGTTTTAGGTGGCCCAGTTAAGAAATTTTGACTTTATTAAATGACGATAAAAGTTTAAGAAGTAGAAAATTAAAATAAACCAAATTAGACAAATTTTTGTATAAAAATAATAGGCCTAAAAAAATTCCACAGTTTAGATTTTAATCTACTTATAAGCCATCAAAGTAGTTCAGGTTTTTACATGGTACTTCAATGAAAAACTTGTTACGATTTTCACATGACTTTTCAATATTGCGAATATTCGTCTACTGAAAAGAGAATATTTTTTATTTGAGAATATTTTGATTAAAGGATAGCTTTTAATCTGTCTTCTCTGATTGGAATTATTAGATTGATTACCACTTATAGAGTATAGAAAACAATTTTGTTTTTGATTAACTTTTTTTAAGTTTTAAAATTACTTTTTCAAATTACTTGTATACTATTATTGAAAGGGCGTAAAAATAGCTGAAAAATTCGCATATTATATGCATTTTTTTTTTTGTTTTTTTAGGAATAAGATATTTTCTAAATGACATGTAAAAACGAAAAGTCCTTAAATTTTCTATTTTTAAGTGAAAATTTGCAGTTTAAATATCGCACTTGATATTTAACTGCCAAAGCATATAGGTAACTAGTTTACATATAGCGGCATTAGTGAGAACGAGTGTAGATATATGGAATATCAGAGAGCAAAAATAACGACATTCTAACATATTCATAAGTTGCAGGACACATGGCATCACAGAGGTGTTCTCATCAAAGAAAGATTTAGAATATTAATATTATTTTATACCAGAAAAGACTGCCGTACAATTTAGAAACTTAAATTTGCAACTTAGGCGATTTACACCTTTTTAAAACAAAAAATTTGTTAAACATTTTTCCGAAAAAAAATTAAAAATAAATGAAATTAGTTTTTTACTCATATTACCCTATTCAATGTCAAATAAAACAGATTTTTTAAATTTCGTAGGTACATTTTAGGGTTCCAATCAAAGAAGCGGTTATAATTTTTTTAAGCTCAAAATCATTGCCCTGTAAAGTCAAAAACTAAACTGTTTTTAATTCCAATTGTTTGAGAAACATTTTGGTCATCTTTATACAAATAGGAAATGTTTTCAAGAAATTGAAATTTTAAATCCTTTTTTTTATTTAAAGGTCGAGAATTTTGAGTCTCAAAAACTTTGATTGGGACCCCTCATTTTTTAGGGTTTAAAAAATATTGATAAAGATTCAAAATTAATTGAAAATTCCGTCTGGGGATGAACTGTTAGACGCATCTGCATATACGAAGTCGGATTTTTTAAATTCAAACTTCAAAATGTCAGATTCAAAATATGGAGGTCATTTTTTAATGATACTTTATACCTACACTGTAAAAAATTTAGGGAGTTAATGGACTCGGGAGTTAAATTTTTCGAGTTAAAAATCAACTCCAAAAGAGAGTTAATTTCTAACTCCCTTCATTCAACACCCGCGCGAGTTATTATTTCTATGGGGAGTTAGCATTTGGGTGTGAAATTTTAACTCTCTTTATTTAACTCCCCTGGCATTAACTCCCCAATGGGTGCGACTTTTATAGACCCCCCGGGGGAGTTAAAATTTAACTCCCTTTTTTTACAGTGTATAAGGATCTTGGGATTGTTTCTTGTGAATTTGAAGTCTTTTAAAAATTCAAAAAAGGTGGATCCTAAATAGATTACCATGAGTTCTTTTAGGGGTCACTGAGTACAAACATCCCTTTTCAGAAAACCAGCTAAAATCTACTATCATATTTACGTTGCATTTGCTTTGATAACGGCACCCCATTTCTTTAATGTTTTGATAGCATCGCCCTTTTCCCCTGTTCTTCATTGTAGTCTCCTAAATTTTCAGGGAAGTAATCTAGATGTGAGTCTGAGAAATGCAGTTTCAAGCTCATCAAGCATCCCATCCTTCTCAACTTGTAATCATATTATTTATACCGTTACCTCCTTATTCTCGCTTCTGTAATTACCCGGAAAATTTTTATTAATTGCCTTAAAACTATAAGCCATGGATAATTCTCAATTTCCCCATTGAAAAAAAAGACGATCTCGTAAATAGAAGTATAATTAAGATAGTAAATAGGACCAAAAATATGGTCCGTAAATTTGATCGTAATAAGGGATATATAGTGGAAACAGTATTTATACGTCCGTAGGATCAAATTTATAATCGATCTTCTGACTCGATTTTTTAAAAAAATGTTTCTTTAATGTTAAAATTATTAAATTTAAAATTAAATTCGAAATTAAATTCTTTCAAAATTGGTAAATTTTAATAAAATATTATCTATATTATCATCGTTGGTTTACATTTAATGTTCTTATCATTTAATTGATTTACCATTTTCCATTGCCATTTCTCTTCTGAAGGATGGCAACCAAAACCAATAACCGAAAAAACAGAAATTCAAATAAAAACCAAAAAAAATTATCTGAAACTGAAAACGGTAAAGCGAAACCCGTATTATAAAAATCCCTGCTTTTCATTATTTGTTATTTATTTAAAAAATGTTTATTTTACATATATTTTTATATATTTATTTATGTGACATCAGCTAGCTGGTTGGGACGACAAATAGATGACGCAATACTATTTTTATGGAGTATCAAATGTGTGCCCACATTTTATCAATTTTATTCATATATTTTATTTTTATTCGATGTCAACAAGCGTTTTCCATGTTTAAAATATGAGTATAAAATTGATAAAAGTAAATATAATTTTGTTTCCTATATATAAAGAATAGATTTGTGTCGTCTGTTTATTGTCCCTACAGCTATCTGACGTCATATCTCGAACACGCAAAGAACGTTGAACTAAAGCAGACTTATTTTTAAGGATCAACTGATATACGTATAGATTAGAAAAACTAAAATTGAATTCGACCTTGTATCAATATTTTACATTTTTATTGTTTATTTTTTTTTTTTTATTTCCGCATCCTCTTTTCAAGTTTGGTTCTAGTTTTCTCTTGAGTTTCATTTTTAGAGAAGAATTTTCTTCCCGTTATTTTTATCGTTGATGAAATTGCGAAAATTTATTAAATACAAAATAAAAATAACCGATCAATGAATGAGTAAATGCGTTATTAGAAGTTAGAGTTTTTCAAATAATGTAATTTTTGAAAAATCAGAACTAAAAAAAACTACAAAAAAAAAAAATAAAAAAAAAAAAAAAACTAAAAATCATAATAAAAATTTTTTAATAATATAATAATATATAATAATATAAATCATGATAAAAAATTTTTTTTTAATAAATGGAATTATAAATTAGAACGTAGATACAACTATAAATATATGACCCAATTACGGTCCTATTTACTGTCGGAATTATGATCCTCTTTACGATCCTATTTTTGATCGTTTTTTTATTATAGGGTTACCCAGCTTAGATAAAAATATCTCACCTGTTAACATTTTGCAAATTTACGGACCATCGGAAACCCCTTCATTTGGTTTTTCATCATCGCAGACTTCGCACTTGATAATTAATTTCAAAAAAGTAGCGAATAGTAGTTTTCAAAGTAAAGAAAAATAGTAAAAAAGTAGCTATCGAAAAATTAAACTTGACGACCAAAAAAACTCGTTTGAGACACTTTACAAAAAATTATTTTTCCTAATTTTCATCAAAAATATTTACTTCTTTCTTATCCTGCTAATAAATTCATTTTTTTCGACTAATTTTATGCAAATTCTAATTTAAATAATTCAATTCCTGTGAAATTTTTATTATTCATGAAAAAAATGGAATTCTTACGAAGACTTTTACAAAAAAATAATTTTAAATAATATTGCATTTTGTTTGGAAATTTTATGAAAATAGTAGATATTGAAAATCATTAAAATGCGAAGAGTTTTTAAAAATAATTGAATTTTGCAAAGAATTCTATTATAATCTTTGACAATAATTTGAATATCTTATGTGGTATTTTATTAAATTTTTTTTTTAGAAAGTAATTGAATTCCTAAAAAGCATTTTATTATTTATGAAAATGATGGAATTCTTGCGAACGATTTTATTAGAATTTTTTTTAAATAATTGAATTTCCACGAAGAAATTTATTACTTTTAAAAATAATTGAATTCTTGTCATGAATATTGTTATTTATGAAAACAATTGAATTTTGCAATTAATTTTATGAAAATGCCTCAAAATAATTGAATTTTCTGGAATAATTTTGTTATTTATCTTTAATAATTGAATTCTTTCGAAGAATTATTTAGGAAAATAATTGAATTCTTGGGAAGAATTTTATTAAAATCTAAAAAAATAATTGAATTATTTCAAAAAATTTAATTAAAATTGTATTTAAGATAATTGATTTCTTTCGAATAATTATATTAAAAATTTAAAATATTTGAAAATAATTGAATTCCTGTGAAAAATTCTAATATTTTTGTAAATAATTGAATTCTTCCAAAGAATTTAAGAAAAATATTTTTTTGGAAAATTGAAATCAAATTTTTAAGAATAAAATTACATTCTTTGAAAAATTTCTTTAAAATTGTATTAAATATAATTGAAATCCTGCGATAAATTTTATTATTTATGAAAATAATCGAATTGTTTTCAAGAATTTTATTAAAAATTTTTAAAAATAATTTAATTCTT